TGAGTATTTTTTGAAAGTCCACCAAGTTAGGTTCGTCAAGATCAGATGAAGTTGGAAGTATAGGAGCATTAATACTGTGAATATTACTTGACGAAGTAGAATAGTGCTCCTTATAACCAGAAATTGGGAAAAGTGTTTCCGATTCTGCATGATTTTTTGGTACTTCTGGAATTGGATTACCGATTTGAGGTGTGAAGTTCGATAAAATTCTTGGGCCTCTCACACTTGCATGTGGCTTGGCTTCTGCATTCAATGAACTGGAATAATAATTTTTGGATAGGCTTATATTTGATGTACCATTTGGAGGTGATGATTGATCCAGTCCGACAGCATATCCTGCTCCGATATTTACGTCAAAGGAATCATTTACGTTTCTTCTACTTTGTGGGTCATCACTGGCAGTATTTTGGACCAATATGAGGGATACTATGGCCTGAAATAAGAAAATTTGCGTTAAATACATTCTTGTATGAGCAACTTATCTCAGTTTGGTTTACTGTCCAAGTAAATATAAATCTACCTACTAAAACAACAAATAAATTAATTCAGGTGACAAATAAGTCAAAGGAATATATCTATTCTCAATATTAATTATTTTTATGTTTCTTAATCTTATCCCCAAAAAGTTTATGTAAAAAAATAGTTAACATAGTGTTTTAAATCAACCATAAATAATTTCTGTTCCCCTTCTTTCTTTGAGGAATATATACCTAAATGTAAATTTTATTTTAGACTAATATTATGTATAATTTAATTAAGAGAACAATTGCCAAAATATGTTAAACATATTCAGTAGTGTTCTAAGGATTTAAGGGAGCATATCGTGCTTTTACAAGTGCTTTCATTACAAAATTAATAATGAATGATTCCGTTGAATTTAAAGCGACTTTCACATACGAAAAATATTTATTTATAATACAAATAATATTAAAAATTTATAAGGTACGTTGTCCCAATACGAGTACTTTTAACTACGTTTGATCGTTGTGAGTTTGATTTTGACTTAAATTTTAAGAATCGCATTTTGGTTTTTTAAAAAAGTACATGTGACGAAAGTTACCTGCATATTAGGAATATAGTGTAAGTATTTAAATAGTTACTTAATTATTTTGAAAGTACGTCAATTAATATTTTTGTTAATGTTCTGATCCCTAAATTTATAATTTTTACTGGAAGAAAGTACATCTTTTGTTTATTGAAATAGAAAGTTGTTTGTTAAATAAAATGGCATTCCCTAATGAGTAAGAAAAATTTAAGGCAATAATTTATTTTAGTTTCAAAAGACTTTTGCTGTAAGTACTATTGACTTAACCCCCTCATTGTTAAACTCATAACTCATTATAATTTTTTCTATTTGAGCAATCTAAAATACAATAACGTCAGTGACATTGACATTTTGTTTTAAGCATTTTAAAAGAATATTTTTTTTATTTCAAAGATACTATTATGTGCTAATTTTATTTTCTTATTTATTTTTAATGACATACTAGGATAAATTTATCTGATATATACAAGTATAAGTTCTTTCCTTGTTGAATTAACATTTGTTATATTTATTTCTGATTATTATGGTGGAATCATACACTTAGTAAAGTATTTTTCTTTCCGATATTCAAACGTTTTAAAAATGTTTACATTAATATGACTATAAAGAAAATCTGCTGTAAAGATCAAACATAATACTGTATAATATATTGTATTTCAAATTTAATTGAGACTATTTTTATTATAAAATTGACTGTGATGCTTTGAAGCATCGTGATTTGACATATTTTCTTTTAAAATAATGTTCTATTAACTCTTCCTCTTAGAAAAAATAAACGTATATAATATGTGATGAACCAACATTATAATAGACGCCACATGTTCAAAATTATATTTATTTTTTTTAATAGAATAATCTACAGAAAGCTGTTTAAATTACTTCATATTTGTAATTTTTTATTGAATATATTGATTCAATTAAATTCAATATTAAACATTCTACCTACTTTAGACATTCTTTACCCATGTGAAAAACCAAATCTGTAATAATTTTTATTTTCACATGTTTTTAATAACTTCCGTCTCAATAAAACAAGCAGTAGTTCACTGTTACACAACGGTACATAAAAATAATAACATTGCGATTTTCATTTAGCATTTCACCACTCTATTAAACACTACGATAGGGTTCACAGGTTGTATGTTATACGCTCCAAATACAATTAACTGAACTAGGAAAATAAAGAATGTAATACTCACCAAAATGTAATTCATATCTTAATTGTCCGAGCACCAAACCACAAATGGCCGTAACTTATCCACACCGAGGTTTATATAAAATACACTTTCATCTTATACATATTAAATTGTTAGATGCTCTTATTCTAGATACAGTGTGATGTTTTCATAAGTGTAGAAATAGTTTGAAGATAAAATACGGCGTTACTGTATAATTTTCCCAAACAGCACCGATTTGCACCAAAATTTGGATTTAGGTTACCCTCTACTTCTAAGTTGACTCAGTGCCGGGGGTTGCTTTATATTTTTTAGAGGTGAAAACTAACCTTATTCGAAAATAATTATAGAATTGTAGATTCGAGCGTGTAATAGGTTGAAATCATCTTTAAATAAGTAATTATGATGAATTGAAAATTGTCAATCCCTAAAAACCAGCCCCTATAGCAGTAATCATTAAAAAATATTTATTTATAAGTTTCAAGCCTTCTAAAAACCACCCCTTGCAAAAAACATCGAACAATTATAGTTGATTTTTTTTTAGTTCAAAATATAATACAATCTTTTTATTATTTAAAATGTAATGTATTTATTTTATCAAACCTTAAAAAAAACCTTACTGATTAAAATTTGCAATCAAAGAAGAGAAAATAAGAATTTTATTTTTATATGGGTTTTAATTTTTTTATTTTTGTAACAAATTTTTTTTTATTGCAAATAACATAAATAATCAAAAATGTAAATACGTCTGTGCCTAAAATATAGCTATAATGTGTTTTCATCAATGCTTCAATATATGTGTTCTGATATCTGTAAAAATATGTGATTGGTTTTTTGACCCATAACTCGCTTAGTTTTTATGATATCAAGCCCTTCAAAAAGCCATTTTGTAGGTTTTTTCAGGGGTTAATAAGATTAAATAAGTTAAATTTTCTTTCAGCCCTTATTTTTGTAAGGGTTTGAGCTGAAAGGGCTTGAAGAAGTTGCTATTTACGAACATTTGCAAACTTTAAACTTACTTAATTTTTATCATACAGAAAAAAATACAAAATTTTCAAGAAAGCAAAACCTACAATTTTGTACTCTACAAAATTTTGCGTACCATTAATAGTTTTTGAGTTAATTTGAAGAAAAGACAATTTTTTCCAAAAATACAAACACACTTTTCAATTCAAGCTCAGCTTTTTTCAAAACTAAGCACTTTAAACCGGTCAAACTTCTAGAGCATATTACAAGTACATAAATAAAGTAAATTGTAGAGTGGTAACGATTATTTTTAATTGGGGTGGTAATTAGGGTTTTTTTTTTCACGTTTTTTGTCGCCGAAAACAATACGTACCAACATTATTTTCGTCATAACTCGCTTAGGTTTGATGCTAGGGACTTTTGTAAAAAATAAAAATAAAGGTTTTTTTCAAGCACTTTAAAAGAAGTTCTATGAGTATTCGCCGAAAAATGCATTGGTTTTTATTTCACGTTCAAACTTTCAATTTTGGCATTTGGCGAATAAGAACCAACCTTCATCAAGCTATTACTCCACTTCTATTGGGTCTATAGACACCATAAATACACCATTTTTTTATAAGCTAGATTTTTTATAAGTATGATTTTTTTGATAAAATACTTACTTTTTGAGTTATTCGCAAAAAACCGTCTGAAAAAGTGTCTTTTTTGGTTAAAAAATTTACACTCACTCGCGAATAAGTCGAAAAGTATTGACTTTCAGAAAACACTTTACAGAACAAAAGTTGCTTAGAATTAGTCCATTCCCGGAGTTATTTTCAATGAAACATTTTTCACCCCCGAGAAGTGGTGGCATCCACCCCCCATGGTGAAAGCAACCCCCGGTACAAGGTCAACTTTGAAGTAGAGGGTAAATAGAACCTAAATCAAAGTTTTATGAAAATCCATGTTGTTTGGCAAAATTATACGGGAAAATGGTCATTGACTGGACTAAAACGCTTATTTGTTTTTTTTTATCATCACATCTACATACAGGGTTTCTTATTATATAAAAGCTAGTTGATACAGCTGATACATGGCGTCAATTAAGGCAGCAAGTAAAATTTTTCCAAAGTAAATTGTGTATGACTCTGAAGTCGAAAGAATTTCTTTTTACTTTTACATTTAGTTAGTTGCTTTAATTATTTCAGTTATTAATATATCCCCACTAAGTCATAGATTTTTTTGTTTATTACTAAGCATATAAATATATTATTTAATATAGAAAATTAAAATATCTGGTAAGTAATTCCAACGTAATTATTTTCAATATGATGACATTCTTGATACTTGGTTTATAATTTTTGTATAACTGTTTAAATAATTTTTTGAGCTACCTATATTTAAATGATAAAGAACCATTCACTTTAGAAACTGAAACGAGTAACATATAATTTTTTTCAGACGTTTTAATCAAAACGAATAATGACAGATGTAAACAAGTTTTTATAGGAAGCTAACAAGTACTAATAGGTACCTATGTATTTAAATTTCAATTAAAATCATCGCATAATCACAAAAGAAAGTAGGTATAGTAAAAAATTTTCGAAAATGAAAAGGGTTCGTAAAAAATTCTATGTGATCGAGTAGCTCTACTGACTTTTACAGAACTGTAAAATATTTTCCTATGGTCAAGTTGTCAGGTTGGGTAGTTTTGTATTAATCATCCTGTGTAGGTAGATCGTATTTTATCAAATATCTCCTGATTTAAATATTTGCTTCATAAAGAATAGTACAAATGTCTTCTTAATATTTTATTTAGTACAGCATACATCTGTTTAAATATTTTTGGTGAAAATTAAAGTAACCTCACGATTGACACTTCTATCGTAACTGTCGACATCAGATCTCACACATATGTCAGCTCTCGTGTAACCGCTTTGGAACATATCGAACGACGAATCTCTTACTTGCAATAGGATTTTGTGCCCATAGTGTTGATTTAATTCTGGAATACATACAGGGGTACCATATGGTATACCCAGCGCGTTGTCCATAGATAAAGTTACGTAATCTGCCCTATTGTCTATGTAATCCTGCAAGAGACAAAATAACTTTGTAGAATTTTAAAAATTGTGTCACTAGAAATTGATATTTAAAAAAAAATGAGAAAACTGACTGTCTTTATTTTAAATAGATTAATTATTCAAAACCTAGTGATTAGTGTGTTATAGAATTGATAAAAGACCCAATTTTAAGAAAAAGAAATTATATTATCTCCGTTTCCGAGATAAAGTCATGTCTGACGTAGATTGATGAAATATAGGCTAACGAATTTACCAATTATGGGCAAAAATCACTGAATTGGTTTACAAATATGTCAACTGGTGATGGAGATATTGAGAACCTTGGAATTTGGGCAAAAGTGATTTGGAAATTGGATAAGTGCATTTAATTTCAGTTGTTATTTCTAACAAAAACTATGTCTTCTATTTTATGTCTTAAAAAAAACGTACGTTTTCTCCGGAGAAAGAATTTGATTACAATTCTGAATAAAAGAAACAAAAAACCTGAATTTTCTCAGTGGTTACCTGCAATGATCTGAGTTTCTGACCCTTCTTGTCCAAATAACCTCCTTCATGGTCTTCATCAAAGAAATCTGGGTAGTAGGCAGTCAGAGTGACATTTTTGTACGTTTTTCCTGTACACTCCAAGGAAAGCTCTAAAATTAAAAACGTTGATATACAGGGTAAGTTGGGGAAAAAGTTGAGAATTGAGGTTCAATACTTCAGGGCAAAATTCAAATTGGTGATAAATGTTTTATTACATTACATTATACTCCAGTAAAACCTGTTAGTTGTAATGGGCAACTTAATTTCAACTTTTTGAAATTTTTCTTTTTCGATACGTTTCTTTGGATCAATTAGAATAGGCCAGGAAATATAGAGTTGGACGCGAATTTTTGTTTCGGCAAGCTGAATTTATCACTGTTGACGATTTTTTTTTAACTTAAATCTCTTTTCATAAGCGTTCCGAATATGTAATAATATATAACTATATCACATTCGTGCGTCGTATATTTCATTTTGCAACTAAGGCTAAAAAATAAAAAAAAATTCCAAGTTGCCAATTTGAAATTAAAAAAAAATGGATAGATTTCAATGTATTATTATGAAATCTACCATGAAAAAAATCAGTGCGATTGTGGAAGATCCTCGGGATCGTCCAGACTAATAATTAGTTAATTTGTTTATAAGGCCATAACTTGTAAACTATTCAACTTACCGATTCCAGTTTTCGTGTGAGTTATTAGACAGTGATAAGGAATGAGAGGATGCGATGCCAAAACATTCTGGTAATAATAACGCAGTTTATAAATGTATAATTCAAAAGTCATAAATAAACTTCTTCTGTTTATAACTTTTGATCTAATCAATATTTTTTGACGCTCGAGGGCTAGTTTTGTAGGTCTTTTGAAGACGAAAAAAAAGTACTCTACTGTTTTCTCGCCGATTTTCGATTTTCGTTCATTTGAACGGAAAAAAGTTATAAGCGAAAAACGTGAATTTACGTAAAAATTACACAATTAACCACCCTGTAAACAATCTTCCTCCCATTTTTATGACTGTGGAAACTAATATGTGATTGTACATAATATTTAGCATCTATAGTGATAAATTCAGCTTGCCGAAACAAAAAGTCGCGGAATGGTCATTTCCCAGCTTATTTTCCTGGCCTAAGAACCTATGTTTACGATATTAACTTCTAAAATTAACGTTTAGTAATTAAATTAATAAAAAAAAATAAACGAAATTAGTCAACAAATACCTGGAGCAACAATTTCACGGTCATTGAATCTACCTTTGGCACATATGTTGGTCTTTGGATTGATCGTCAATTTAATAAATTTCATAAACATCCATCGCTTTTTGAAATAATGCGCAGTTTTCAAAAACTGATTTTTCCGCGTTCAACCTTTATTTTACAGTTAACAAGCTGGTTAAATATGACTTTGGGTACCTTAGAGTGTAACAATTTAATTGCCTACAATTGACTAATTTTCCGATAGGTCGTCTAAATTTTCGTGGGCAGTAAAAAAAGTGAAAAAATACGTAAATTTGCCACCTATTTTCAATTTGCCAAGTTCTACGAGTTACTTTTTTGACATTATCATTCTTCCCCGTCATAAACTGCAATAAAATGTATACTAATAATTTTTTCACGTTCAAACTCTAATTCGACAGGCGTATTGGTATTAAAAAATACGAAACCATCTAAATTTCAGAATGATATTCCTTGCATTATTGAAAGGAAAAAACAAGTCTAAACTAAATTCATCCCATTAGTTCTGTTTATTAATTATTGCAGAAATATTGTCTTTCTGATAACTGAATTTTTTTAGAAAATTAGTCAAACAACAACTTTTGTAAATCAATGCCTAAAAGACTAAGTATTAAAACGTTAGGTACTTACCATGTTCATAAAGAGCTGCGCTAAATATTATGTTAAACATAAACAGAAAACCAACACCTTTGGATTTAACTCCACTCATTATGAACTTTTTCAAAAAACTAATAGTGAAACGTCGACAAAAAATTACCCACATTCAATTGAGCTTACTAAACAATTTTATTGTACCTAAACATACACAACTGAGTGCAACGACATTTATTTAAGTCTGCATTTTATTGTTTAACTAATATGTAGCAAAATTTATGTACACAAATCCCCTCGTTTTCGCCTGGATGAAGGTAAAGGTTCGGCATATTGTTGAGTGCTCTTCAATATGTTCATGGCCATGTTGCTGATATTGTCATGATACTCTGTTGTACCAGTTCTTGGAGCGAACCATTCGTCAACCAGAGTCGGAGCTAAAAAGAAAATACATAAATAATAATATAATAATAACAATATATCTACTCCTCATTCTAATTACGAGAGTTAGCCCAGAAGTCGAAGACTTGTGCGGGAGAGGAGGCGGCATATTATTATTACGCAGGCCGCATTTGCGCCCAGGAACGACTTATATTGGTAGTGGTAGTAAAAGAAGCATATAATAAATGAGATATACAGGATGTTTCATTGAATACGGGACACAATTTTCTAAAATTCCTTAGGATGAAATAGAGCTGATTATTGAAGTTAATTAAAATAATGTTCAATTAAAAAAAGTTTTCAATTGAAAAAATGATTGATGATGACAGGAAATAAACATTACCTTGAATCAAGAATATATTAATTTGTATATACATGTATCATAATCTTGAATTAAAGAAAGTTTCTTCAATCAAAAATACATTATTTATTTAAATTAAAGACAATTTATTTAATTAAATATTCTAATAATATACAGGGTGTTCAGATGTGAGGAAAACAAGCATGTTTGATAAATTGATAACGTTCCATATTTTTATGAAGTCTAAAGTTTTGAAAAAGTGTAAATTTTTGTTTTCTTTAAACAATTTGGTTTGCCTTGAAAGTAAGTACTCGAAAATGCTAAATATTGAGAAAGGTTTTAGAAGTCATTGTTACCGCTTCACAACCATCTTATATACATAAAATATAAAAATAGGGATAAAAAATCGTATTCAATTAAAAAATGCTCCGAGCATATATAAACAGCTTCTAAAATTAGTAGACAGTAAATGCAGATTATTTTTAAATACCTGGTATATAAAAATTATGATTTAGTTCAAGATTGACAACAAAAGACCATAATTATAGGTATCTACCTGAAGTGTAACATTCATCAACTTAAAATTGTATCGCTGTTTTGATATTCGGTGAATTTTTTACTCCAAAATCTATGATTTCTCTTTTATTTTAGGCTATTTTAGATATTGTATTTGTAATAAAATTTTTATTTGAAAAATCCTGAAAATGTAATAAAACAACGAGACGTCGACGATTATATACTTAAATTGTTTTTCATTCTATAAGTTTAAACTAAAATCTAAAATAACTAAGAATCGTGAAATACATATTATATTAATGTACCTTTTGGTTAGAAATTGTTTAATTCAAGATTATAATATAATAACGAATTCGCAAATATATTCCTGATATAAAATATGTAACATATTTTTGCTTGTAAACAGCTTCATTTTAGAGATACAGGCTGTCAAATTGTTTGAAAATATAATATTTATGCAAATACCTTTGATTGTGGATGCAGACTGATGAAATTTGGGCTAGTGATTTAATTGCGGCAAAAATTCATTGAATTTACAATGTACAACAATGTCAACTAATTGTAGACACAACTACTAAGAAACATTGAATGGAACAAGTTACAGAGGACGTTACCAAACGTCTAAGAGGACCATCATTGTCTGAGAAGAGATTTCATCTCTAATGACCTTAGAACCAGCAACAAGAACCAATATCAAAATCAGAAAGGGATTTGGGGTCCTGATAGCGAGTCCGCCCCTACAGAACATAGGCCAAGAACAGGTGCAGATCGAATATTTCTAGCTACGACTAAGGAAGAGCAATAAGTCTGGTGTACATAGGTACAAAAACCACGGCATAACAACACGAAATACTTCAAATAACAGCCACTCAGAACTTTAGGATTTCAACCTAATTGAGTATTTTCGAAATTTTATCACTATATTTGATTTCTAATTATTGTATATTCAATAAATATGTCTTCCTTTCGGAAAATGAGTAACTATCGAGTCATTTTTTTAAAATCTAAAATAAACTCACTACCACTTGAAAAAATCGACAGTACCTCTAAAATTACTGTTTCTACTACAGAATTGTCTTTGTTAGAAAATTTAGTTTTATAGACAGGAATGATGTGATCAATTCCAGAAAAATTAGCGGTTGATATAATTGTACACTTTACCTTTGTTTAGTTAAATCACTAGACCTCTTCAGAGGTCTTTACATAAATGTCATATTTTTCCTTTTTCTATTTTTTACATAACAAAGTTTAGATTGCTTTGCACCACTACTAAGGTGTAACAAGCGTCCTCAACAAGCATCAATAAGCATTGAATAATGTGAAAGCCTCGCTTAAAAAAAACAACACACCTTAGACTTAGCAGTTTTAACTTAATCGCGTTGCGTATATGTATATTTTGACTACTGCAGAAAAAAATAATTTTGCGACTAACTGAAGTTGTACCATAAAGAAAAATAAGAAAAATGAGACAGATGATTACAAACTGTGAGGAGTTTTAAAACTTTATCCTGCAAAGTTTGTAAGAGTGAGTAGATACGTCACTTCGATATATTGATGAAGAAATACGGCTAGAAATATATCAAAATGATTTGCTATCGATACTTATTTCAAACATCTTACTTCTTGTGAACGTGACTTGAGGACAGACATTAACCATCGGCTTTGTGAACGCACTGTATCTGAATTTCGTTGGATCTCTGTAACCACTGCCCAGACCGACGGTCTCCCCTTTAACTGGTACACCAGTTGGGGAATCTATCGCAGGCATCAGTTTCCTGTAAGACGCCAAAGGCAATCCTGAAACATTCAAGGTAAAAAGTAAATAGTCGTAAAATAAAACAGCTATAGTAACCTCTTTTGATGTAGTCGGTTTGGTAGATGGTTTCCATTTTGATGTCATCGTTGTCGCAGGGGTGGTCAATGATTCCACCAGCTAAGGTAGCCATCTTGAAAATGAATCATTTTAAAAAAATTGAAATGTGCGGTAAATCAATCACCAAAATAGTTAACGGAGGGTTAGCAATGTTTTTATTTACGTTAGTAAGCGTCATAGATACAGACTGATCTGCTGTAAATAGAAGAGAATTGTCTTTTAGTGGAAAGGACATAAAATGCGAAAACAAAATGTTCTCTTTGTAGTAGTTGCTTTTTTGCGTATTCATTTTGGTCAAAGGTGTTACCGTATTTCAAATAATTTCGTTGCACTTAAAACTACATTTTTGTACATTTGAACACAAGCAGAAGCTTTTAACAAGAATAACGTCTTCACAAAAAGAAAAATAAAAGATTTTCGGCCATTTAAACTGCCAAACATATTCTATTTAAAGAAGGTCATGCAATATCTTTCTACAAAAAAATAACGCTTACTGAAATACCGTAAGTAAAAACGTTTCCGCTCTTAGTTTATAAGTTACTGAAACTGAACGCACCTCTTTGTTGAGTTCGTCTAACTCCTGATACAAGCGTTTTTCTTTGTTGGCCAATTTTTTGTACCTACCCATTTCAGGTTCGTAAAGATGTGCATCGCAGTGGCAGTACGGTTCAACTAACTGTGCTACATAATGGTTATTGGGCTTTGTTGTAATGGGTGGTTGGGAGGGTCTAAAAATAATTGAACAAAAATTAAATGAAAATAACAGCCGTATTCAATTAGAGACACAAATAATGTAATTTTTGTATGCAATCAGGGTTTTTCTCAGTAATTACCCACACCCTTGTACTAAATTTTTATTAAACTAGAAAGAATGGTCGTGTGCATTTTTTCATTAAGAAATGGACCACTTCTCGCCATTGTGCCATTTTTTAAAATCTTTCTTATATAGAGATGACAAACAGAAGAAGCAACGTTAATGCTGTTTGAAGTACTTTCAGTAGAGTATGAGCCAGAAGGGCAAAGCTGCAGTACATCCGGAAGCATCATCAAACAACTTTCACAGAAAAAGTCCTCAAAGAAATGATACTAATTATGATAATCTTTATGTGTTATAAATTAAATGAAGTTCTGAATTGTCGTTTTCTAAAAATATACAGATACTGTTCAAATTCGTTTAAAAATCTATTTTAACTTTGTTAGTGTATCCTTACCCTGCAACTATCGGCTTCGCGTAAGGCCATTTGTATTCCTGCCTTGTGGTGGTTAAGAAAGTATCCTTATCCGCCATTGTAAATATTGTAATATACTTTTAGTATAAATTTAACACTTCCCTTGGACATTCACTTGAAATTTCGGACGCACATACTGCTTCATTTACGTACAGATTTCTTCATTACATGATTTCTTAAGTGCAGAACTAGCGGCCACACAAACTTGAAGGCAAATCTTAAAACTAAATAAACTGCGAAATTTTGTGACAGCCTTGTCAGAATGTTAAGATACTCCATTTTACATTAATTTGATTAAAATGTGACACACTATATCTAGATGTTTATTAGCCAAATTTTACTACCATGTCAGTCCTAACAATTTATCCACTACATAAAAACTATCTATTTCATTCAAGATGTACTTTTCTTAGTAAACAGTTATAAAAGCTTCTGCTCTGTTGATATATTAATTTGAAGCTAATTGGCAAATAATTAATGCTGTTGATGCGTTAAGTATCTGGACCTAATAAATAATTAAAAAACCTAAAAAAATAATTATATCTATCTATCTGAAATATGCTTTTACCTTAGTAGCGCTTTGGCCTTGGTGGACTGAATGCTCCATGAACATGTTTGGTATCTCTGTAAACCATTTGTCCCCACTGGTTCAAGCATTCATTTGTCACAGGATTTTCCTTCTCAAATGGGTTCCAGGCCCCTATTTCTGCTGTAAGCGTTGGTGGACGACCTGAAGTGATCATTGAATAGAAGTAAAATGAGTATGCCTCTTCTGTGAATTACTATTCAGTTCTACTGGTTTGAACGAAAAATGTAAACTTTACAGTTTTGTGCGATTTTGATTTCAATTTTAGTTTTGCAAGTTTACTGTATAATAATTATTAATTAAAAATGTTTTCTAGGAACCTTATTAGTGCTTGTAAACGGTTGCTATAATAAAATGCGGTCTGCCAAATACTAATATGTTGGCCCCTTTCCCACTCGACTCACTAACATATCAGCTAATCCTCGCGATTTGAATGTGAAGAAGATATAATCTGGTACAGAATTCAATTTTAAGCAAAAAAAAAAACGAAAAAACGAAATACCACCTGTTCCTATCAAATTTCATGTTTCAAATATCAAAGTTGGCAGCTTTCAAAGATGAATTTAAACTTTTATAAAAATTAACAGGTCATGCAAACGAAATCATTTTATCAACGGAGGAGTTATTGGTTATATTTTCGAATAGTCCATCACCAGTAGCAAAGCATATCTGTCAATGACGATTCAAAGGATTAGTAACTGCAGTAAACTTGGTTAGTTTATTTCTTCTGAAGTAATAATCCAGTGGTTTAAGATCTGGCGCTTTGGTAGGCCAATCCAATTGGAGAGGGTCTACTTAATCATTTGGTATTAAAATTGTGGTCACCATGTACCGGAGCCTCATTGTGTTGCTGCCACATTATGTTGCGCAGAAAAAATAATTTATTTCGTAATTTTTTGCTTGAAATTGAATTCTGGAACGGATCCTAATTTTTTTGCTTCCTGATATAAACTGTCCTGTATTATTATTAAACTATTATGATTCATAATCATTTTATTTTATTTGTAGGTGAAAACTTACAAGATTTTTCTTCTGTTTTGAGGATATCATCGATTTTGAAATTGTTGTGTATTTCATATGGCCTGTAATAAGGACCTGGTGGAACCCTCGGGCAAGTGTATATTCCCTCTGATTTCCTTTTACATTGTCCTCCTTAAAATAAAAATATACCTATGCATATGTAAATTTGAGTAATAAAAAAGTTATAAACCAAGAATGAAGCAAAAAGTGGAAATCATATAGCTCTTTATTATAATTAAAAATACTTGGCATGTAAAACATATAATACTGGAATTTTTCAGTTAAATTTATTTTCTGAAATACCAGTAAATTAAAGAATCGAAAATTATTTAAAATGCTGATATATTTTCATTACTCGTAGGTAAATATCGACATTGATAAAATAGTTACGAAATTACAATGAACTAATGACAATACTTTTTATTTTAAATTATAGTATACATTGTAACAAAACAAACATAAAACAAAAATGACATAATTTCTAAAATCTACATCAACCATCGACTTTCATATACTTTCTTGGGACGAGAATGTAAACCTTCCTTAATTATGAGGTTGCCTAATCGGGATACAGTATCTTGATATTCCGTATTGCCTGGCGTTAAAGCGTAGAGGGCGCCTCCTTTACAACTTCCCACTGAAACATAGAAGGTTACTTGCATTAAATGAGTATAATTGTAATTTATACTACTGTCAAATGACTCTCGGCAAAAAGTTGTCTAAGAAATACGAGAAATAGTAATCTCGCCATTTCAAAGTAATTTTGGCTTTGTTTTATAATACGTTTTTCATTTTAAAGTGCCTGCTTCTTCAATGTGTTCTTCTGTGGCATGGATTATCAATAAATTACGATTACAGTTCAATGTGATTAGTTACTTTAAAGTCACATTACAATCACTCAGTTGTTACAATTATTGTTATTTTTCATAGAGAAATTACTTGGACGATACACTTTACTGAAATACTATTTAATAACAACTTTTAAGTACGTATAAGTGACTTTAAAAGCTAATTTTTAAGTTTAAGGAGTACTTCGTTTGAATGATATAACAAATTAAAAGTAATTTAGTCGTTCTGGTGGCAGTAGTTTAAAGCAACAAAGCAGTTTTTCGTTGAATAGCGTATTTACAGTCCTATTTTCTATACGAATTCTAACTATAGGTTATAATGACTGATACTTGTATTTTTTGTTACTGTTCCTGTTAATAGGGGTAACTGCAATCATAAACATTAGTAAGTATCAATATACAAAGATAAGTGAACTAGTACTATTGAACAAATATTAAAAATCATCAAAAATCGTCAAATCAGGTCATTAAATTAGAAACATTTTCAATTTACTGTTCAGTTCATTGGAGCTAGGACAATTTTTGTATTACGTACATTAATGACACGGCCAATTTGTTGATCAGTTTGTGAATGAACTGTAACCTTTACTGTTTCAGTTATTATAGTGTAAGTACTATTTTCTGTATACATCTAAGAGCAACTTGCTTTTACATGGATACAGGGCGAGTGTCTTTTAAGTCTTTGTTATAACTTCAGATGTGTGTGTGTTCCTTGGATCATTTTAGGTTAAATTGTCTTAATGAACCAGTATTCTAAAGCTTTCGAGATACAGAGTATGGAAATTAAATATTTAAATATACTCGAGGATGTTTTTAGTAAATGGATGAAGAAAATTAATTTATATCTACAAGTGTAATAAAAATCCTATCAAATTACATACAAACCAGTGACGAAGATACGCGAAGGTATTCGATTAGCTCATTTGAATGATATTTGTATTACAAACGGTATTTTCTAATTTGTTGTAATAATGGAGCATTTTAGAGTTATTATTTTTTATATTTAAAATGATTTTCCCAACCTATAGTAGGAATAGGATGGTGGTACAACGCCCAAAAAATTTAAAATATTTACAGCAATAATTTTTTTGCATTATTAATTGTATTAATAACTAAATAATCCTACACAATTTTTTTTTATTGAAAATATTTTAAATGTAGATATATACGCCTATTTTAAATTAATACATAGGCATTGAATTTTCTAAACCAAGAGAATTGCACTAACCAAATTTGGTCAGGACATAGCTAATACAATGCGAAACATTGCCTTATAGGTAAAAATGTTGTCACCGCCGTTCTTGGTAGGGAAAATTCGAAATATTTGGATTTATTCAATTTTCATGGCTGAAAACATACATAAGTATTGAATTTTCAAAAACAAGAGAGTTGCACTAACCAAATTTGGTCAGAAAATAGCTAAGACAATGCGAAACATCGCATTAGTAGTAAAAATGTTGTCACTGCCGTTCTTCGTGGGGAAAAAATTCGAAATATTTGGATTTATTCAATTTTTGTGGCTGAAAACATACATAGGTATTGAATTTTCGAAAAGAGAGTTACCAAAACTGGAAAAAATATGCAATACGTAAATGGTTTGTTGTTTGGATCGAAGATATATATACTTTTTCTTTGAATTAATTATAATTAGAAATCAACCGAATTTCCAAAAAACTGAGTGACGTAGAAATTCTAAGGTCTCCAACGACAATGTCCTCCCCAGTATCTTCACCACTTGTTGACGTATCGCGAATATTTGCCTTTAATTACTAAAACTACTAACTTAAGGTTCATTAACCTATCTTGTATCTCGGAAACGAATTATTTTAGTTCAACATGATCTAAGGAACATGTTCCTGAAGGACAGGGAATTGAAATACACCCTGTATTAAAAAAAAATATGTGCGATTATTACCGCAAGATTTGGCCTCTTCCATTTTAGCCACTCCACGGCATGCTTTCCCACCCCCAACTCTATTGGAAATGTTTTCTTTTTGTAGTGGTCGGCACACATCTCCAGGAAGTCGAACTGGTTCCGGGCAAGGCTTGAGTCCTTCTACTCCAGCTGCTCTTATTAGCTCGTCGTAGGGGGCTGAGGGATATTCCACTGAAAAGAAATGAATAAATATTCTCTGTGGTAAATACTTAATAGCTAGGTTACAAGGTATACCTTAAAATAACACAATAATACCTACGTCATGTGTAAATGCATGTTTTTTCTCTTATGCACTATTTTCACTAGATTTTTAGTAAGACATATACACGATTAAAAAAATAAACAAGTCACTGATGGCTGGTAAAAATTAAAGTGGTCATATTTTGGGAATATACCAATTTTAGGGGGTGATTTTTAGGATCACCAAAAGAACTTTTATTGCGAAAAAATTTGGGGGAAAATTTGCGAAATAAATAATTAATTTAGGACCCTGAAGATCCAAAAAGGAATGGACATATACATATTTGCAAAATTTTTTTTTCGTAATCAAGTGAAAAATACAAATAAGAGTTTTTTATTTTTCTAAAAATTTTCATTAATCAGGCAACAGCATTATCAGTTTGAAAAATAATTTATTTATATTAAATTAAAATTTAAATAAATATAACC